CATGTTTGTAGTTTTCAGGTGAGGAAACATGTCATGTTTGTAGTTTTCAGGTGAGGAAACATGTCATGTTTGTTAACTCCTGGGTGTAAAATAACAGGAAGTTTTGGATTATTGGTACTAAAAGAAAAGAGACACATTCAACACTAAGCTGATAAAGATAAAGTATACAGATTACTAGCTAAAAGCAACCCAAAGCTAGCTACTAGCTAACGTAGCAGAATAGTTGTTAAAGCCAGCTAAATGCTAAAAGTAGTAAATTTTGTAAATAAAGCTCAATATTTTGAAAAYTCTGAAAGTTCCAARAATAGAAACAGCCTTTATTTTCCCTCCGAGGTGAAAATCATGTCACAGCAGCATCAGTACAGAGGTTCACCGCTAGTTACTTTACAAACTGTAGAGAGTACACAACAAACAAAATAAACACTAAAAGAAAATGAAAAAACAACAAAATCACAGCAATCATGTCCTGAAAGAGCCGAAGTTTTTTAYCCATAAACAGCTAAAATAAAACAAGGAGCAGCAGGAGGTAGAAGGTGGACATGACAGAGTGATGCTGACTCAGCATTCAGGCAGTGTGAACCTGGATCAGGACCTGGTCTGACCTGTAAGGTCTGCTTGTTCTTCAGGTCCTCTGCAGGTCTGGGCCTCCTGTCTTTGGCCGCAGGCGTCTTCGCAGCGTATCTCATGGCGTTGGCGGCGCTCAGCCCCTGCCCTCCGCTCCTGGGAAACCCYGCAGGAGTGGCGCTGGTGGTGAGTTTTTATCTGTTCTCGTTCTGATCAGTGAGTCCCGGTGGTCCTGGTGGTCCTGGTGGTCTTTGTCTTTAACAGAAGCAGCTGAAGTTCTGCTGCAGAGCTGGGCTTTAACCCCGCCTCCTGTCCACGCCTCCCACAGGTGGTCTCCTGGATTGTTTTCACGGGACTCTTCTCRTACCTGAAGGTGGTGATCGGGTCCTTGCTGCACGAGGCGGGTCACGCGGCGCTGCTGTGGTGCGGTATCTCCATCCAGGCGGGCTCCCTGGTGGGAGCTCTCACCATGTTCCCCCTGGTGAACGTCTACCAGGTCTTCACTGCAGCCCGGGACTGTGACAACGACTGCAGCTAACAGCTAACAGCTACTTCCTGTTGCAGATCCACACCTGTGTTTTTAGCAGACCTGAGCAGATGAAGTGGTTTACTGCAGACCCTGACCCATTGTGTTGGTTCTGGTCCGGTTTACCAAAAGACACATCATTCCTTCACCAACTCTGCTACTTTCCTCCGTTTGGTGCCAACAAAGCTCCTCCCTGCTGCAGGAGGTGGAGCTTTTCAAACTTGTAGTTTGATCAGACTCTCTGTGAAATTTATATTTGTTTTTCACAAAAACACAATAACTTTTATATTTTAATATATTTATTAATGGATGAACAGAGAAGAAGAATCAGGCTGGATGATGTTTTAATTAATTTAATTAATTTAATCCTGATGATAAACTGTCTTACTGCCCTCTAGTGTTCATTTAGGGGAAAATCATCTCATGATTTATGAATTCCTTTCAGTTAATTTTGTTATTTTTACTCATATTTTTATATCAGCCCACTKGTATGGGATAAAACTTGTGCCWGCAGGAAGTGAATGTGAATTTCTCAGATTGAATCTGAGTGTTTATAAGTGATGGGATGATGATACAAGGAGTGTGTCGACACACTACACAAACTGTGTCGGCTCTGTTTTGACACTGTGTTGGTCACTCTATAGTGACCCCTGCTGTAGTTATAAATTACTGCAGGTAAACAAAATGAAGAGAAGATAGATGCTGCAAACATCAGCCTGTGAAATATTGAATCACCAGTTTTTTACTTAAAATATGATGTCATCATTTAATTTGCTCAATTTGTTTACTGAGTTAAGTTGTTCATGAGAAGAGTTTAAAACTTAACTTAAAAACCTTGTTTGTCTAACCTGAGTTGTAAAATACAGCAGATTTGTCTGTAATAAAATTCAAAGTTAAAATTATTAGTATGGAATTTT